CTTTGGAAGAGGAAAGTTGGAAACATGGTGAGCTTAGCTTCAGTGTGTGTGTGTGTGTGTGTGTGTGTGTGTGTGTGTGTACGTATGTGTGTGAAAGAGCCTGAAGCAGCCAGAAGAGGGCATTGGATCCCTTGGAACTGGAGTTACAGGTGGTTGGGATCTGCCTGACATCAGTGTTGGGATCTGAAATCAGGTCCTCTAGAAGAATAACAAGCTCTCTTGGGGCTGGAGAGTTGGCTCAGCAATTCAGAGCACTGACTACTCATGCAGAGGACCCAGGTTCGATTCCCAGCACCCACATGGCAGCTAACAATCATCTGTAACTCCCGTTCCAGGGTATCCGACACCCTCCTCTGATCTTCTCAGGCACCATACAACATGGGTGCACCTACCTACATGCAGGCAATACACTCATATCCACAAAATACAAATAACGAAAAAAAAATTTTTTTGGTCTTTTTGAGACAGGGTCTCCCTGAAGCCCCAAATGTCCTGCAACTCCCTATGTAGACCAGTCTGGCCTTGAACTCACAGAGATCTGCCTGCCTCTGCCTCCCGAGTGCTGGGATTAAAGGAATGCGCCACCACGCCTGGCATAACAAGCTCTCTTAACCACAGAGCCATCTCTCCAGTCTTGCAGGTCCCTTTTTTATTTCCTCTCCAAGTGATCCCTATCTTCAGGAGGTCATTCTCTAATGATTCCCCTCTACTTATACAGTGTGTTGTTATTTTTGTGCTTTGGGGGCTTCAGTTAAGATCATAACTTCCAGGAGCTCAGCAGACCACCAGAGAGTATGGGGTTCTGGCCTCCCTCTGGCCTCCAACTACCAGAGGGCCTGAGAACCCAGGGGACAGCCTGACAGCCCCCAAATCCTGCCTCTACATGGTGGTGAGCTTCCCCTAATTGTGCCATACTATCCCCCTACCTGGGACAGTAGATTCCTCCCAAGGCCCCAGGGCAGATCTCGCTTTGGTAGGCTAAGGCTGGGATCTCAGCAAACTGCCAGAGAGTGCCTAGTTCTGGCCCCCCTCTGGCCTCCCTCTGGCATAGGGTTGAAAATGCACAGGACTGCCTGAGAGAGCCTGGATCCTGCCTCCATGTGGTGAAGGAAGCCTGAGTATACCTGACTGGAACCTGAATTGGACTTCTGTGGGTACCCCTGAATAGCTTATCTGAAGCCATCAATTCCCTCCAAAATAAACCTGAGAGAACCTGAATCCTGTACCAACCACCTTTATATAACCAATAAAGAAAGGATCTAAGCACCTGGATAATACAAACAGAAGCATACTTCACCTTAATTCTCATATCAGAATCATAAACAACAAAAGAAATTCACATGCCAAAACCACAATGAAAGAATAATAAAATGGAAAGCCAAAACACTATGTCCCCACCAAATGCCACCAATCCTGTAGAAGAGTTCTACAAAGAGAACCCCCTAGAGATAACCCAGGACACTGAATTTAAAAGAACAATCATAAACATGATCAAGGAATTCAACCAATTTAAGGATCACATGAACAAACAAATCAAAGAGCTAAAATAAGATAGGGATAAACTTCTGAATGAATTCACAAAAGAGATAGAAACATTGAAGAAAACTCAGAGATTTCCTTCAGAAATGAAGAAGGAGGTATAAAACTCAATAAGCTAACTTGAAACAACAGAGGAAAGCCTCACCTCCAGAATGAATGAAATGGAAAACAGAATATCAACATACTGCATGACACTGGTGTGCTTACCTACATGCAGGCAATACATGCATACACGTAAAATAAAATATATATATATGGAATATGCAGGAAATGTGGGACACCACAAAAAGACCAAATTTACACATCATAGGCATAGAAGGAGAAGAATTTCAGGTTAATGGTATTAGCCAGATCTTAAACAGGATTGTAGAAGAGAATTTCCCAAAATTAAGACATCACCATACAAATACAGGAAGCACATAGAACACCAAATAGACAGGATCAGAAAAGAAACTCCCCACGACATATCACAATAAAAACACTAACTGTACAGAACAGAGAGAGAACACTGAAAGCAGCAAAAGAAGAACAAGTCACATACAAAGGAAAGCCCATCAGAATTACAGCTGACTTATCAATGCAAACTGTGAAAGCCAGAAGAGCCTGGACAAAGGTATTTCCGGTTCTCCATGGCAATAGATGCCAGCCCAGAATACTATACCCAGCAAAAATGTCTATTATAGTTGAGGGGGAAAGAAAAAATCTTCCATGACACAAATAGCCTGAAGGAATACATGTCCACAAAATCAGCCCTTCAAAGAATACTCGACAATACAAAGAGAGCAGAGAGAGAAACAACTGTACCCCAGAGCAACAAAAAAAGAAAGGTATAATAGAGGAAACACAAAGTTAGACAGAGAACACAAACATCAATCAAAATGACTGCAACCAATACAAAACTAATACTCGAAGCAATACAAAGAGCAGAGAGAGAAACAACTATACCTTGGGGCAATGAAAGAAAATAAAGATATAATCTAGGAAACACAAAATTACACGGAGAACACAAACAATAATCAAAATGACAACAACCAACAAACACCTTTCAATAATAACCTTAAATATTAATGGACTGAACTCCCCAGTCAAAAGGCTAAATGAATGGATTAAGAAACAAAATTCATCTCTTTGCTGTCTGCAAGAAACCCATCTTACCTTCGAGGACAGGCACTACCTTAAGGTAAAAGGATGGAAAAGAATATTCCAAGCAAATAGCACTAAGAAACAAGCAGGGGTTGCAATTCTAATATCTGACAAAATAGACTTCAAAGTAAAACTAATCAGAAAGATAAGGAGGGTCACTTCAATCTGATCAAAGGAACAGTTAAATTCGTACTAGACGGGTTTTTACCCCAAAATGCTTCTGTTCATTTTTTTCACTATTATAAACACATTGTTAGAACTAGTGTCCTTCTACAGAAAGCAAACACAAAGATACACAACGGACAAATATTCTCCATTAGACAGGTCAACTGGACAAAGAATAAACAGGGAGACATCTGAAATAAATGATACCATACATTAAATGGACCTAACAGACATCTTTTGATTATTCCACCCAAACACCAAAGAATACACTTTCTTTTTTTTCTGTTCTTTTTGAAACAGGGTCTCCCTGTAGCCCCAGCTGTCCTGGAACTCACTGTGTAGACCAGGCTGGCCTTGAATTCACAGAGATCTGCCTGCCTCTGCCTCCCGAGTGCTGGGATTAAAGGCGTGTGCCACCACACCACGCCCGGCTAAAAATACACTTTCTACTCAGCACCTCATGGAACTTTTTCAAAGACTAACCACATACTGGGCCACAAAACAAACCTCAACAAATATAAAAATATTGAAATAATTCCATGCATTCTATTGGACCACAAAGCAAAAAAGCTCAAAATCAACACTGGACGAAGCCCTAGTCAATTCATGAACTCGTGGCAATTGAACAACACACTCCTAAACAATGAGTGGGTCAAAGGAGAAATTAAGAAATAAAAGCCTGGAATTCAACGAAAAGGACAATACAACACAACACAACCTCTGGGACACATTAAAAGCAGTCCTAAGAGGGAAGTTTATAGCTCTAAGTGCCTACATTAAAAA